TATTTATTTATGAAAATTTGAGATTTTTTTTAAATAAAAAAAATTATAATGTCTATCTTGATATCATTATAGATCATAACATTTGCTGCAAAGGTTCTGAGGAAGTATTGCTACTTGTCAATAGTTTACCTACCTGTAGATTGTAAAAACTCCATAGAAAACTAATTGGCAGTGAGTTCACTTCAAACTGGATATAGATATAGTGAATGGTTGGTTAAAATGTCTTGCACATTTTGACACATCAACTGAATAGTTTCTGCTGCATGATTCAACCAGTGCAGTTCACTTTCTGTTTGACAAGACAGAATCTCACTTTGTTTAAATAACCTCTCACTTTCACTGGAGTGTACTGATGTCCTTGCTGGGATTGGGAAAAGAAAGTGTTAGAAAGGGATTAAGAACATTATAAATGCATATACTGCAAAATTACCGACTCAAGATACAAATGGTCCAATAACTACATTTAAAAACCTCAGCGAACACATGAATCAAGAGTAAGGAACAAGGCTAGAGTGAAATAGTTTAGGTTCAGTTGTCAGATTCTAGTCGGGCCAGATTTTTTGTCTTCCAAACCTTGTACTGAATGCACTGAACATTGTTGCAAATTCAAAAAAAGAAAAAGAAAAAAAAAGCTGCTAATGAACTCAAAATTGAAAATTCTATCATAATTTACTTTTCTGTCATTCCAAACCTGTATTCCATTCCTTTTTTCTATAGAACATAAAATGAGATATTTTGAAGAATATTGTCAACTCATTTGATTCCCATTGACTTCCATTATATGAGCAAAAAATGTAAGTCAAAGGGGAAAAAACGGTTTGGTTACCAGCATTCTTTAAAATTTCTTTTAAAAGACATGCAGCTTTAGAACAACATGACAGTGAGTAAATGATGACAGAGATTTAATTTTGGCGTGAGATATCCCTTTAAAGTAACGAGTATAAACCGAATATAATGTTCAAATATGTTTTTCTAACACATTTAATAATGTTACTAAAAATAACCTTTATCCGTGATGGGGCCAGCAACAAATATTCGTATTGTTGAGTTCCGAAGTGCAAACAGCAAAGAAAGGCAACTGATGACTTATAACACAATAGAAAAACAACATCATTAGTTTGAGCCCATTCTAATTTAAATGCAGCTTTGTGAGTATTTGTTGTGATTCACACACACCAAAAAAAAAAAAAAAAAGAAGAAGTTAATGGATAGGTTTGACTTATAACCCTGTAAAGATTACTAGATACCAGTCTAAATATTCAGTTGCAAGCGTGGGCAACACAAAAAGCATATTTACAGTACAAACACAAATTGAACACCCATGCACTCAAATACACATTTTACACCACTACAAGTTGACAATACTATCAGCCTCCAACAAACATGTCCCTCTGAAATACATTTAAATGTGTCAAAACGGGTCGTCCACCTATTCGTAAACAACAAACAGACTTATAGAGAGCTATCAGGAAGTGGGAGAGGTGTTCTGGGCCATGCACACAGTGGTTGGAACACCACGATTCATGACACACACAGATTCTGCAGGCAGTTTGTGCCGGCCCTGCCGGGAAGCCTCTACAGACATGAAAAAGAAGAGAGACAACAGACGAGTTATTACCCAGACACCTAGAAAACAAAGACGGGTGAAGAGGGTGCAGGATGACTTGCGAGCCAGCGCAGAGGAGATATGGAAAGGGTCAGGAGAAGTAGGAAGAAGGGATGAAGAGGGTGACGTAAATGCGGTCTGCTAGCAGGCACGTTCAGCAGGCGTAAGGCAGGCTTTAGCATCATACTTCATTGAGCAGAGTGTATGCTGACACCATTTGTTCAAAAACTTCAACTTGTTCACAACATGCAGGTGTTTCATTGTTTCCTTCAAATGTTAATGGTTTAATTCATCAGCATGCTCATCAGTGCAGTCTGCCATGCTGCTCCACCTGGAGACACCCTTTTCACTGGCATCAAAGACCTTCCAATCTAGCTCTTTGTGCCTGTCAACTTCAGGTCAAAGAGAGTATTGATCCAATGAAATATACATCATCCAATGAAAGATACATTCCACAGCAATCAATGAAAGAAAAACCCCAAGCACTCTAACAAGTTTCATACAAAATTTATTTCATGCTATGATTGTTTTTCTATGCAGTTATTGTTGCATAACAGTGCATGCATTTGTTTTCCCCCAAAGTTCTCAATTGCATACAATTCTCTTATAATGTAAATATACATCTGTCTTTTTTGCTTTTCTTTGTGTTTTAGTACCTAAAAGTAATGAGAGAAAATGTAAAACACCTCGACAGGATGCCATTTTTCTTATTTTTGATGTTTTTTCTCCAAAAATAACACTGTCAAAAGTCTGCACTTGATATGTGAAATAAACAGCTGCGCACAACAGTTTTCCACAGGATCTATTCACTGGTAATTATGACATGAAACAGAAAAATAACTCATTTTGCTCAGTTTTTGTTTGTTTTTTTCTCTATAAGATCCAGAATCACAAGCATGCCAGACAGAAACAATGTTGAATAGTGGAATTTACAATCCATCTCATGGCAGTAACCACTGCGTCTCATTCAGAATGTGAGGTCAATGTGACCAGAGCTGAGTCATGTGGTTAGCAACAAAGACAGAATAACATGAAAGAAATCTGTTGCTGAAACAAAGAACATGGTTTCTGAAAATCTCATCATCCATGGCTACATGTCAATTCTGCAAAAGTCAAGAACTCTTGAAAGAAAATATTTGTTTTATACAGAAATTCATAACAGATATAGATTATTTTCCTCTTTTTTTTAATGTAACACCATGCAGCTCATGCTAAAATGAACAGGTAAGAGTCCACTACATCTGCCACTGCAGGTACTATCATTAGTATTAGGATTATATACTAATTTTGCTGGCTTTAAAACCAACCATTCGTGTCACTCTGCAGTTGATGGTCCTTAAGGTCTTCCTTATAAAAGTCCTGGTCCATGAGACCACTCACACTGTCGGAATCTAAATCAAAAATGTTTGCCACTGCGTCGACTGGCAACATCCTCTATTGTGCTCTTTTCCCCCTCTACATATACGTCCCTCCTTTGGATTCCAGCCTGAAATCCCTTGGGCCATTGTGGAGTCCAGCAAGGCTGGAGAAGGTTTGAGATGCTCCTGCCTTCTCAGGTCACTTTAAGCACCTCTGACTGCATATACTTAACTAGGGCAGTGTCCTCTTTGCATGGATCTGCAGTAGAAAATACAGGGGAGGATGGGATTGCTCAGGGTCATCCAGCCATTGGGCCTTGTTTTCATTCAGCTTACAGAATGAAGAAATGGGCTGAGAAAATAAGACTTCCTTTTTTTCTGTATGGTAAAAACATTCATTTGGGTTGCTTTTGCAATCCAGGGCTAAAAAGTTTGGAGAAAGAGAAATGGACAGAAATGCACAGGGAGAATGAAAGAATTGCTAAGGAAGTAGAGACATTTGTCATTGACAGCGGAGGAAAGAAAAAGGGAGTTATAATACCTCCTACCTGGGGTCTCATTAAAGAGGTGATAAAGAAAGAAGGGAGCAAGACTCCAGAGCAAAGGGGAAGTAAAGTAAAAATTAAATGGGGAAACTAAAAAAAAAAAAACGATAGAGGATAGATTGTTTCGTCTTTCAGATGTCAGAAAGGGTTTTATGCAAGAATATACTCGGACAGGAGAGGAAATCTAAAAAAAAAAAAAAGATTTACCTTCCTCATCCCAGTTCTTTTATGTCTAATAAACACTCGTCCCTAAAATTTCCCTGAGATGTTTTGGAAGTTTTCGTTCTCTAATGGCTTTGTGTGAGTCAAGATTCTGTATATGTAAAGACAAGAAACAAGCAAAGTGGACAGAAGAGGAGAGGAGGAGACAGCTCCAGAAGACAAGGACCAGAGAACAAGACAATCCAGACCAAGGCAAACACAGAAGAGAAAGCAGCAGAGCAGGAAGAAGACCCAGGGAGACAACTCTAACTATATCACTGCTCCATTTCTTAGAGAATGGAGGGGATTGGAGAATGGGACCTCCGTAAGAGAACAGGTGGGCTGCAGGACCGGGTGGACATCGATACTACCTCGGCCAGTGTTCGGGCCTTGCTGGTTATGGTGCCCAGGCTTCGGGACTTTTGATAACCTTGGTTTAGTGGAGAGAAATGTGCACATGCCAGTTGCTGAGATTCAAAGGTTTCATCTTGACATCTGTCAGTTTGCTGCTTTGGGTCAGGTTTAAAGGGTTTAAGATTGCATGCAATCTCTGGGTGAGGGCATGCACAAAGATCGGTTGGTTAGTCTGGCATTAGAGTGAGCAAAGAAGGCTGTGGTTTGCAAGGCAAACGTTTCAAGTAGAATTGAGCAATTTGCAGATTTGTTGATTTAGAAATTCAAATTAACTCATAAATTTGAAATTAAGGCAACTGAGAATCCAGTCCATTGATTTGTCAGGGTCAGTCCCTCAGTTTCAGGCACTTTTCCATAGTTTAAATGATATCATTTTGAGTCATTTTGAGTATATGCATTATGAAAAAGGAAAGTCTTTGCTTTCAAATGCTATAATTACAATTATATAAATGGTGGCTGTCATAAAAACCTGTTTCTTTTTAAACGTGTTTTTCCTGAATTAGACATTTATTCAAACATAAATTAATCAATTAAGATATTAGTAACATAAAAACATAATGCATTTATAAAACATTGAATATATTGAATATATTTATGATTTAAAATATTTTTTTCTAGCAAGATACGGACCATCTATCATCTAGTGACATGAGTTGTTTTGTTGATATCTTAAAACATTTTAATGGGCATTCACTTGAGAGATGATGCTGATAAATTGTGCCGTATCAAACCCTCTCTGATGTTCATTCATTTTCGCTTATTTTTTGTGCTACAACTAGTAAGAATAAAAGAAATTATCAGTTTATGTGATTGTTTTAATTTCGTAACAAAATTTGAAATCAGAAGCTTTTTTATTAAAAAATAAAGCTTTTTTTTTTGTTGCTTATCACATTTCTCCACTAATGGCTCATTGCGAGTTTTGAATCAAAATGAAAGAGGGTGTCACACATGTCAATGGTGTATACATCATCTCATCATATGATTTGCCTTTGTGCAAAACCAAGTCTTCACTTCTCATCCAATACCATACAGGCATCAGGATAGATTGCGGCAAGGACCGTAGGACTGTCCCAACACATGCACAACGTAATGCTACAGAAAAAAAAACGGCACTCCGAAAAAGCACTACATGCACACGCACATACACACACACACACACACACACACACTAAAAACACTCAGAAACTTACACAACATATATAAAACACAAAGACAAAGAAACATATTTGTTGGGAACAGTGTGTGTAGTTTTGCTTGGTCATGATCTTGTGGTGCTTTTGGCAGTAGGTAAGATCTGGAGTCAAACAGAGCATGCTCACACAGAGCAACATGTCATAAGACACAGACAGACAACGTAACTGGTTAGAAAATTGTCACGTGACAAATTGGTGGGTGGTAGCAGAAAATCTTTTGAATGTGATCAGAAATCGCAGGTTTATGTTGTCGTTGTAAGTGGTGTAATTGCTGTGGAAAGTTAACTCTGTTTGCAATCTGAAGTCTATGTAAAAACTAAACAGTGGTGTCAGATTATATGAAAACGTGTTGGTCTTAATATCACTACATCTGGTGATGTTAATTGACAACCTGTGAAGCTACATAGCATGTAGGGGCCTTTTATTTATCTAAGGCTGCTGTGAGCGATTTGAACGCTATTGTGTTAGACAGGGAAACATGGATGGGTATCAGGTGGTGACCCTGGCATGGCCGTCTTCTGGGCTGTGCGCCCAGCCTAGCTGCAGGAGTGGGTAACCCTGTGTGCCATGCGTCGGGCCGGCCGGCTCCGCCCCTGACCTCCCTGAGAACATTCCGGCTATGAGCCAATCGGGTAGCATAAGGAAGACGGGAGAGAAGGAGAGATGGAAGGAGGTACAAACATAGAGACAGACCACAGGCATGTACAGTGGTGGAAGAAACAAGTAAAAAAACAAACAAACAACAAAGAAAAACAGAAAAAAGGGAATATTAAGGTTGGCCCCAGAAGGCAGCTATATGTGAGTTAATATGAGTTTGACGTAATGCAGCGTGATGTGGGAAAAAAAACGTATTTACATTATGTTAAAAAGAAGATTGTGGAAGGATCTGAACTTGCGGGGAAGGGACTTGCAGGGAACTCCCTGTCTCATTTTATTTACATTTGAAAAATGTTGATAGTGGTTTTTGAAAAAAAAGAATAATATTAATGAAAGTGAAACTTAAAAGGGGACCTATTATGACCTTTTTTTACAAGTTTATGTGTTTTAGCTCAACAGCCCCCGAAGATAATTTTTTATAGCTTGTTCAAATTGTCACTTTTGTGTGTGTTCCTTTAAATGCAAATGAGCTGGTGCTCTCAGAGCCTTTTCTAGAAGAGGGCGGAGCTTCAAGAGCTCATGCAACAACAAAACAGGACAATCTCACACACTAACAATGTCAGAAACTGTCAGTAGCGGTGTATATACAAACAAAATCCCTTTTTCTGGGGGTTGATGAATTTTAATAAAGTGTGCGCTCTCCCTTTCATTACTGCCGTGACCAGTATCACTCCGGGGACTATAAACTGGATCATGAACAGTTGGTACTGATCCATCCTTGAGCAACAACTTTTTTTACAAAACCTGTGTTTTGTATTGTCAAAGGCAGACAGTGTGCAACACTTAGGAGGACGGGGAGCTAATACGGCAGAGTCCGTCGACAGTCGTGGGGGTGGCCTGTGCAATGTGACGTCAGCTTGTTCTGAGACTCTGCTTGATTTATGGTGATAAAAAATAAAAGGAGTGCGTGGATTTTTATCACTGGTTGTCTACACACTGCCAATACAAAAACAGTGAATATTGCATAGTAGGTCCCCTTTAAACAAAAGATGGGGTTTGTGAGCTGATGTATGTAATTTCTTGTTCTGACTAAAATCTGAGATGGCTGAGGAAATTTAAAGCTGCAGTAGGAGGTTTTGAGAAAACGTTGACCTGAAAACCTTAGCCTGAAAATTTGAACAAGCACAACTGCAGTACACTGACAATCTTGAGTTTGAAAGACGGTATGCACTGTGCAAGAGAGGGGTGTGATCAGCGCATGAGTGTGATTGACACTGCTAAGACACTCCTCCTGGCTCTGATTGGTTGTTTCTGACCAGGAGCGGTGTATTTATGTAAATGGCAATAGAACCACTGGGAGGAGCCAGAGGAGCTTGATTTTGTTCACAGATAATCTGTCTCATAGTCTACTGTCAGGACATAATGAGTTAATACATAAAAGTTACCTACAGCAGCTTTAAGTATAAATTTGGTCTTTTGTTTAATTTGTGACAAAAATAGCAGCTTTGCATCATTATAAACTGTCTGTCGTGGGCGCGCTCTGCTTGTCTGTGTGCTTGGACTGTCTTTATTTACTGTGTAATGCACCTGGTATGATTTGTGTGTGTGGTGTGTGTGTCAGACAATAGCCTCACGCAGAGGTTACATACCCTTCCTCACTCGGGTACCCGTGTTTGTAGATCGTCTGCCGACGTTCAGCAGAAAACGAGGAGTTTCTCCCAGTGGCTCACTTGGGTTAAAGATCTGGCCGTCCTCAGGTGAAAGGGTTTGGTCTATGTGGGGACAATCCTCATTGGCCAGCGCTGCTTTAGCTGCATCACCGTTCACTTTGGGAT